ATAGGCGGCGCTCTGGTATAGTTTCGCCCAACACCGCAAGTTGCTACAAAACGAAAAAAACATAAAAACTCGAGTCATGTTCGTAAATAACTTCGTCAGATCGAGGCATCAAACCCGTTCAGAAATATCTAAAGTGTCAGCTTTATACAACTGCTTTCTCTGATCAATGGTTGAAAGAAGCTCCGAGCGAGTGAAGCATGTTTCGAATTTCACAGACTGGCGCTACAGAATCACAAACAAACAACTGTACCAGACAATAAAAACCTCATCACTTGAGGACTTTCAACAGCAGCAACAACTAAAATGGATCTCACATGTAACTCGAAGAGAAAATGACAATCAAAATGTTAACGTTCTACACGACTTCAAACAAAAGGTTAGGAAGGAAAATCCCCATCAATGCTGAAAAACGCAATAACAGTTACAAGACTTGGGAAACCTATTTAGCTGAAAAAATTCCTTGAATGAAAAGATTTTATAAATTTCAATCGACTGTAGCACTAGCTGTTAAATGATTGAATACAGAAAGTTTCCTTATAAGGAAATGGCTGATATTGCCATTATCATATGGATATCTTGACATACGAATATTCTAGCAAATGAAAATATAGCAGAAGACATTGCACTGCACTTAGAAAACAAACAATTATGGATCTTTTGTGTGCCCAGCAGGTCAGGAAATTTCCCCACTTTTCAAGCAACTCACAATTGGCAAGAAAAGAGACTATATTTAAAAAGTAAACATTTTTTTATGTAAATACTTACGTGACGATCTTCGCATCCATTTAAAAAAGATTTTCAGGTAGCTTACTCACTGCTTTCCTCTGTTCCTCTTGCCTTTCATAGGTTCTGTGAACGTCAAATTCTCCAAGCCCTCTTTTCTTATTATGCGTCTTAGAGATTTTAATTCTCTTTCTGATTCTAAGTTGTTATACCTGAACGTACCTATTCTATTATTAATAGACTCTCCCACACATAAAAAGTAGTAGTAGTAGCGGTCGCCAGATGAGCTCAGTGGAGTTGAGCGAGTCAGTCGATGTCGGACATTAAAGTATCAACCACCACAACTAGATTGCTGCGTCATTAACTATTATTGCAAGTTCCTAACGTTTTGTACGTCGGATCCTTTTAGGACCGACTTATTGAAATACAAGCCTCCACTGTGAAAACTACCCTACAACATAAGTATAAGCGGCTTTTTTATTTTCATTTTCCTTCAAACCTCTTTTTTACTCACATGATCAATTCATAATATTTTCAGCATCCTTCTGTAGAACCACATCTCTGTTGGTAAAGTCTCTTCTTCATCTGCGAGCAGATTGACCAGCATTCACTGCTATTTCGGAGTGATATTGCACAGCCGTGCAGCAATCTTTTGTTTGCTTCTAACGAAATTTTCATGCGTTCCTGAACAATTTTAACGCTTCTACCTGAGTCAAAATTCGCAAATAATTGCTATGTAATGTTTCACGGTAGATGTAAAAATAGTTACAAGTGTTTAACCACCGTTCAACCGGTGGCTGGGGGTTTAAGTAATTTTTCTCTACCACCGTTCAACCGGTGTCTGGGGGTTTAAGTAATTTTTCTCTACCACCGTTCAACTGGTGGCTGGGGTTCGTAATTTTCTCTACCACCGTTCAACCGGTGGCTGGGGTTTACGTAATTTTTCTCTACTACCGTTCAACCGGTTTTTTTCTCTACCGTTCAACCGGTGGCTGGGGGTTTAAGTAATTTTTCTCTACCACCGTTCAACCGGTGGCTGGGGGTTTAAGTAATTTTTCTCTACCACCGTTCAACCGGTGGATGGGGGTTTACGTAATTTTTCTCTACCACCGTTCAACCGGTGGCTGGGGGTTTAAGTAATTTTTCTCTACCACCGTTCAACCGGTGGTTGGGGGTTTAAGTAATTTTTCTCTACCACCGTTCAACTGGTGGCTGGGGGTTTAAGTTTTTTCTACCACCGTTCAACCGGTTTTTAAGTAATTTTTCTCTACCACCGTTCAACCGGTGGTTGGGGGTTTAAGTAATTTTTCTCTACCACCGTTCAACTGGTGGCTGGGGGTTTAAGTAATTTTTCTCTACCACCGTTCAACCGGTGTATGGGAGTTTACGTAATTTTCTCTTTTCACCACCGGGGTTTAAGTAATTTTCTCTACCACCGTTCAACCGGTGGCTGGGGTTTGGCATTTTCTACCACCGTTCAACTGGTGGCTGGGGGTTTAATTTTTTTCTACCACCGTTCAACCGGTGGCTGGGGTTTAAGTAATTTTTTCTCTACCACCGTTCAACCGGTGGCTGGGGGTTTAAGTAATTTTCTCTACCACCGTTCAACCGGTGGCTGGGGTTTAAGTAATTTTTCTCTACCACTGTTCAACGTGGCTGGGGTTTAAGTAATTTTTCACCACCGTTCAACTTCTCATTATTCTCTACCACCGATAAAGCGGTGGTCAGGGCTCAAAGGATTAATATACCGGTTAATGCATGTTAATATACATTTTAAAACATGTTAATAGATGCTAACCGCTAGTGCCTTGCATTTCTGAACAATTTTAACCCTTCTACCTGAGCTCCTGAATCAAAATTCGCAAATAATTATGTAATGTTTCATGGTAGATGTAAAAAAATTACACCCCGTTCAATTTTAACCTTAAATTTTCTCTACCACTTTTCAACCGGTGGCTGGGTATTACGTCATTTTTCTACACCACCGGTAAAGCGGTGGTCAGGACTCAGAGTTAAATAACCCATTGAGTTTGATATGTTATAAAACAAAATCAACCAAACTAAACCAAATATTGACTATAGGTAAATATAGGTAGTTCATATTTAAGTTTATAAGCATTTATTGATTCGGGAATACTGGTCGATTAGATTTAGTCGAATCGGCTTTTACTTGGTGTGGGCAGAGATGAATGTTGGTCCTTTATATATAGGTCTATATGCTTTTACTTGGTTTGGAGGATAGGTAAATGTTAGGCCTTTATATTTGGGTCTATATGCTTTTACTTGGTTTGGAGGATAGGTAAATGTTAGGCCTTTATATTTGGGTCTATATCTTTTTACTTGGTTTGGAGGATAGGTAAATGTTAGGCCTTTATATTTGGGTCTATATCTTTTTACTTGGTTTGGAGGATAGGTAAATGTTAGGCCTTTATATTTGGGTCTATATCCTTTTACTTGGTTTGGAGGATAGGTAAATGTTAGGCCTTTATATTTGGGTCTATATCCTTTTACTTGGTTTGGGGGATAGGTAAATATTAGGCCTTTATATTTGGGTCTATATCCTTTTACTTGGTTTGGGGGATAGGTAAATGTTAGGCCTTTATATTTGGGTCTATATCCTTTTACTTGGTTTGGGGGATAGGTAAATGTTAGGCCTTTATATTTGGGTCTATGCGCTTTTACTTGGTTTGGGGATAGTTAAATGTTAGGCCTTTTATATTTGGGTCTATATCCTTTTTACTTGGTTTGGGGGATAGTTAAATATTAGGCCTTTATATTTGGGTCTATATCCTTTTACTTGGTTTGGGGGATAGGTAAATATTAGGCCTTTATATTTGGGTCTATATCCTTTTACTTGGTTTGGGGGATAGGTAAATATTAGGCCTTTTATATTTGGGGCTATATCCTTTTACTTGGTTTGGGGGATAGGTAAATATTAGGCCCCTTTATATTTGGGTCTATATGCTTTTACTTGGTTTGGCGGATAGGTAAATGTTAGGCCTTTATATTTGGGTCTATATCCTTTTACTTGGTTTGGGGGATAGGTAAATGTTAGGCCTTTATATTTGGGTCTATATCTTTTTACTTGGTTTGGGGGATAGGTAAATATTAGGCCTTTATATTTGGGTCTATATCCTTTTACTTGGTTTGGGGGGATAGGTAAATATTAGGCCTTTATATTTGGGTCTATATCCTTTACTTGGTTTGGGGGATAGGTAAATGTTGTTCATTTATATGTGAGTGCATACGCATCATTTTACTTCGATAATAGGCAAATATTTGTCGTTCATATTTGAGTCTCTTTACTTGGTTCGGGAATAGGCAAATATCGATCATTTAAGTCTATAAGCATTAAATAGTTGTAGGGATAAGTAAATATTAGTCGATTGTATTTGAAACAATAAGCATTTACTTGGTTTGGTAATAGGCAAATATTGGTCGTTTATATTTTGCTCTGTAAGCATTTAATTGATACTGGGATAGATAAACATTGATCGGTAATACTTGAGTCTGTATTCATTCCCGAATCAATAAATACTTATAGATTGTCCTCCTTTGGGTGGTTCTATCACCTTTTAGCACGATTCAGTCGGATTATTACCGACCCCACCGATAGAGCAGGGTAAAGTGGGATAGGAGATTAAAGGTACATATTACTGATGGAAAGAGAGAAACGGAGTAAGAAAGGTTGTTCTCGGCCGTAGCAGCCGGGTTAGCAATTATAGTATTTTTTTACAGGGTTTTATTTTAACAAAATACAATAAAGAAACAAATACAAGAAAGAAAGAAAGAAAGAAAAAACTATGAAAGCAAGAAGGTACTGAACATTTTAAACGTTCTTCCTGCTATCTATGATAACTTAAGGCTAAATACAAGATTTTTTGCGCCCCCCACTTTAAAAAATTGTATTTGCTGCGGACTTAATGTTAGAAGCATAGATAGATAGATGTATACCTAGGATTTGTTGAGACAGACAGACAGATGGCTATATGAAAAGAGAGTTGAAAACAGGAAGTTGTAGACGTTTTCTTTTATTTATTTCACCCCAAGCAAGGTATTAATGTCACTAAGGCGCAAGTGGCTACTGGGAGTGAAAGAGAATATGAAGAATTTAGGAGAAGGAACCGGAAGCCCAATCCTGAACAGGAAATAATGGATAAACTTGTCGTCTTGTTCTAAAGACTGGAAGGCGTATGAAACGGGCGATTGAAAAAGAGTGTTTCAAGTTAATAAAAAAAGAGAAAGAAAGAAATATAGGGAGAGAGTAGGAAAATAATTCAAGAGAATGAGAGAGAAGGTGAGAGAGTGTGTGTGTGAAAGAGAGATGCGAGAGAGAAAGAGTGAAAAAGGAGGAAGAGAGAGTGAAAGAGAGAGGTAAGAGAGAAAGAAAGAGGCAGGAATGGGAGAGTGAAGGAGGTAGAAAGAGAGTGAAAGACAGAGTAAAAATGAGGAAGAAGAGAGTGAAAGACAGAGAGAAAGAGAGGGGGTAGATATAGTGAAGGAGAAAGGGAAGAAATAGTGGAAGAAGGAGAAGAAAGGCTGAAAAAAGAGAGTGAAGTGAGAGTAAAAGCGAGGGGTAAGAGAGTGTTAAAGAGCGAGGGAAGAGAGAGTGAGAGAGGGAAGAGAGACGGAAGAGAGGGTGAAAGAGAGAGAGGAAGAGAGTAAAAGAGAGAGAGGAAGAAAGAGTAAAAGAGAGAGGGAAAAGAAGGAGTGAAAAAAGAGAAAAGAGAGGTAAGAAAGCGTGAAAGAGAGAGGGAAGAGAGAGTGAAAGAAGGCGAGAAGAAAGAATAAAGGAGAGAGGAGATAGTGTGAAAGGGAGGAGGAAGAGAGAGCGAAAGAGTGATGAAAGAGAGGGAGTGAAAAAGAGAGTGAAGAGAGAGTGAAAGAGGGAGAAGAAACGTTGAAAGAGTGAGAAGTGAAAGTGAAAGAGAGGAGGGAAGAGAGAGTGAAAGAGAGAGGAGAGAGATAGTAAAAGAGAGAGGGGAGAGAGGGAGTGAAAGAAATGAAAATAGAGTGTGAAAGAGAGAGGGAAGATAGTGAAAGAGAGCGAAGAAAAAGTAAAAGGGAGAGGGGAAAGAGTCTAAGAGCGAGGGAAGAGAGGGAGTGGAAAACAGAGAGAAGAGAAAGTGAAAGAGGGAGAAGAGAGGGTTAAAAAGAGAGGCACGCAAGAGTGAAAGTGAGAGGCGTGCGAGAGTGAAAGTGAGAGGGAAGAGAGAGTGCTAAGGATAAAGGTATACAGATTAAGACAGAAACATTGAGAGTGAAAGAGAAGGTGAAGAAAAGAGAAAAAAGAAAGAAAGAAAAAAAAGATTGGGGGAGAAGAAGTATAGAAAAAGAGAGAGGAAGAGGAAAAGGTGAAAGAGAAAAAATAGTTTTTACTCCGTCCGTTTCTCTGACTAAAATTAGTTTCTGTGTAGTTAAAGCGTCAAAATGAACGTGGAGGCTAATTTGACCGTGTATCATACAACCTGCCCGAGGGAGAGAGACGTGTGGATGAGGGTCGGTTTGTTTCATTTCCCACAGGTCTCCCTGACAAATAGATTCCGGAACAGAGTTGAACAGGGTACCGGGGAAAGGCTGAGGGTTGGTTGTAATAGTAACGGAGAAGTTAGGTGTGGGGAAATGGTTTTGATATTGAAGTCGAGTGTAATCACTTCTTCCCGGCAAAAAAAAAAAAAAAAAAAAAAAAATCAAAACCAGTTGCTGTGGTTAGGGTAACAGACTCTGGGTCAGTGTTGCAATCATTAGTCGATTTCTAGTCGATTTTCTTTTTTTCTTTCATTTTTTTTCTTTTTAGCTTTCTTTTTTTCTTTTTTCTTTTTCTTTTCTTTCTTTTCTTTCTTTCTTTCTTTCTTTTTTGATATTTTGTCAACGATTTTTTCTTATTAAATTAGCTCAATTTTAACCTCAGAGTGTTTTTCTTTTCTTTTTTCCATCTTTCTTTTCTTTTTGCCTCTTTCTTTCTTACTTTCTTTCTTACTTTCTTTCTTTCTTTCTTTTTTGATATTTTGTCAACGATTTTTTCTTATTAAATTAGCTCAATTTTAACCTCAGAGTGTTTTTCTTTTCTTTTTTCCATCTTTCTTTTCTTTTTGCCTCTTTCTTTCTTACTTTCTTTCTTACTTTCTTTCTTTCTTTCTTTTTTGATATTTTGTCAACGATTTTTTCTTATTAAATTAGCTCAATTTTAACCTCAGAGTGTTTTTCTTTTCTTTTTTCCATCTTTCTTTTCTTTTGCCTCTTTCTTTCTTACTTTCTTACTTTCTTTCTTTCTTTCTTTCATTCATTCTTTCTTTCTTTCTTTCTTTCTTTCTTTCATTCTTTCTTTCTTTCTTTCTTTCTTTATAAAGATCTGGTGCCGCATTAGAAAATAAAATAATTTCTACAGTAAAAATGAATGTCTGATTTTAATGCTTCATAAAAAAAAAATAATCAAAAACCAGTTGCTGTGGTTAGGGTAACAGACTCTGGGTCAGTGTTGCAATCATTAGTCGATTTCTTTCTTTCTTTCTTTTTTTTCTTGCTTTCTTTCTTTCTTTCTTTTCTTTTTTGATATTTTGTCAACGATTTTTTCTTATTAAATTAGCTCAATTTTAACCTCAGTGTGTTTTTCTTTTTTTTTCCATCTTTCTTTTCTTTTTGCCTCTTTCTTTCTTTCTTTCTTTCATTCTTTCTTTCTTTCTTTCTTTCTTTCTTTCTTTCTTTCTTTTTTTCTTTATAAAGATCTGGTGCTGCATTAGAAAATAAAATAATTTCTACAGTAAAATTGAATGTCTGATTTTAATGCCCCAGTAAAAAAAAAAAAAAATCAAACACCAGTTGCTGTGGTTAGGGTAACAGACTCTGGGTCAGTGTTGCAATCATTAGTCGATTTCTTTCTTTCTTTCTCTTTTGATATTTTGTTAACAATTCTTTCTTATTAAATTACCTCAATTTTAACTTCAGTGTGTTTTTCTTTTCTTTTTTCCATCTTTCTTTTTTTTTCCATCATTCTTTCTTTTTTTTCTTTCTTTTTAAAGATCTGGTGCCGCATTAGAAAATAAAATAATTTCTACATTAAAAATGAATGTCTGATTTTAAATGCTACAGTAAAAAAAAAAAAAAAAAAGAAAAAAAATTGAAAAGGCACAGCCTACTCGAAAAAGAATAAAATAGTCACCATAAGCCTACTACATCTACTAGTAATACTAGATCGCGACAAACTTTAGCAAGATGTTACTGAAACTGCTCAGCAACCTTGATATATTTGGGAAGGATATTAGAATAATTAAGAAGCTATACTGGCAGCAAACAGTCTGCATTCGGTGAGAAAACGAGTTCAGCAGATACAGTGTAACCCGGATATAACAGAGTTGTCGGGACCGGAGAAGTCTCTTATATCCGTGTTTCTCTTATATCCGGGTTTGGTCTATTTTATATACATTAACACTTGCTCTAATTTGGGACCGGAGAAAATCTCTCTTATATCCGGGTTTCTCTTATATCCGGATCTCTTATATCCGGGTTACACTGTATACAAAAATAGAAAAGGGCGTAAGACAAGGATGTGTCTTCTCACCGGACGTATTCAATCTATACAGCGAGGCGATTCTGAGAGAATTAGAAATCCAACCATGGTTCATTATTGGCGGTCAAATATGAAGATGACACGAACACATCGCCGTTCGCTCTTGGGAGCTCTCCGCCCAGAGATGCCACGTCATCACCGCACTGACCGTCATTGTTCTAGGTGGTCATGGATCCTACAAGAAGATCCATTCGCCCTTTGAGAAATCTTGTTTTTTGATCCTGTTCTGCATCTAGCCATCCTTCTCACCAGAAAAGTCTTCAGTTTAGTCGCCAACAAATTGTCAGATAGAACTTAATTACACCGTATCAGTAGCACCGACGGAAATGAGACAAATGTTCGATCTGCACATGCGTAGTAGCAAGTCGATAAAAAAGGACTTCCTGTTTTAATTATAGTTAAAGATAGTAACGCAAGGCAGTTTTCCTTTTTTTTTCTTTTATTGTCTACAGGTTGGCAGTTGGCGTGGACATCTCGCTTTGTTTAGACGTGAAGGTATGTCGCTAAGCCTAAAGAGGGAGCTAAACCCCACAACTGACACATTGGTGGCCCACAATAGTGTGCAAAACAACACTCTCTTGATCTTTACAACTATTTACAGGTAGGTCAGGACATGCCACTTCCAAGGAGCCGAACCTCCCTTATTTACACCGTGTTCTAAATGCAAGAAAAAACAAAAGTACAACTTTCCCCCACCCAAGAATTGCCACTTTCATTGATTATCAACCTTTTACCACATATTTAAAGCCAGAAAATATTTTTCAGTTGCAAGAACTTTTGGTAAATAATACTGATTTACTGACCCTAGTACCACTAATTAACCCAGAGCGAGGGGAGAGAAGAGGTGGATACTCCCATCGATAATGGAAATAATCGATTTTTTCCTGCTTCTACGGCAGATTTCATGTAGTTTGCGGCAATTTTCTACTGGCCAGAGTGAGAGCCTATAGCTGGCTGCCACGAATAGGGACGAAAATTGTATTGGCCAGAGTGAGAGCATATAGATGGCTGCCACGAATAGGTAGGAAGATTCTATTGGCCAGCGTGAGAGTCAACAGCTGACTGACACGACTGTTAACTAGCATGCTAGCATGCAGAAAAAAAATTAATAGCTGCATTCGTCACAAGTGGGAAAAATTTAAATCTGCATGGCACTTTACTCCAATTGGCTCATTCGCTTGCTTAAACTCAACGTTGATTCTCCGCAGAACTGGGTTGCTTGTGAAAAAGTATTTGTTGTTAACATTCTTTTTTCATTCGGTTTTTCCAGTTACGAGTCTTTTTTAAAGCTGATCGTTTTGTGTTCATTTTGTTTAGTTCTTTTTTCGTAACAGATTTAATGTTTAGTATAGAGCTTAGAAAAATTCGCAGTGTGTGATAGGCAAGAAGTAAGGCATGTAGCAACATCAGCACGGCAAAGGTCACTCCTTTAAAGGCAAGGAAGGGCAAAAATATTTTAAGTCAAGTGATAGCGATTGCTGTATGAGTCGTACGATTTTTGAATCAAGCACGGACAATGCCGGGCCATGCTGCTTGTGGTTGAATAAATGACTGATCTATCTTCAAGGCAATGGCCCAAGTGAAACTTAGACTTTACATATAGGAAATAACTTTAAACTTAATCGTATTATTCCAGCAAGTTCTTAGGTACCCCAGGACAATAAAAAGTTTACTTTCTTTCTCTTTGTTTGCCCCCACCCAATTCTCCGCCCAACCCTGCCTCGGGTTAAGAGTAAAGCAAGTAAGAAAAAATATAGTGAGAGGGAATCATAGAAATTTAAAGCAAAGAGTGAGAAAGTAGAATAAGTGGGGGAAAGAGAGAGAGAGAAATAGAGAAAAGAAAGAAAGAAAGAAAGAAAGCGCTAAAAAGAGAAAAAAAGGGAAGTGAAAGAGAGGGGAAAGACGGAGAAAAAGAGAAAGAAAGAGAGGGAGAGAGAGAGAGGAGAAAGAGAGAGTAGACAGAGAAAGAGAAAAAAGATGTCATAAAAGAGAGAGTGGAAAAGAAGAGAGAAAAATGTGACGGAAATGCAGACGAAGAAATAGAGAAAGAATTTGAAAAAAAAAAAAAAGAGAGAGAGAGAGAGGAGGGAGAAGAAAAGAAAGATGTCATAAAAGAGAGAGTGGAAAAGAAAAGAGAAAGCAGTAAGAGAAATAGAGAGAGGATTTGAAAAAAGAAAGACAAAAAGAAAAAAGAGAGAGATAAAAAGGTAGAAATATTTGTAAAGGCTTAGTGACCTTTTGTGTAACCAATAACAAAAATACAGCTAAATACATTTTCAGGAAATTATACAAGCCATTATTTATGACATCTGATGACAAGGCGCTGTTGAGGAATAATTCTGGGAAAGTTCACGAAATACTTATTGGAGATTTATTTCGCAGGACTATCAGGGATTTTACAAGTACAGTCAGTACTATTTGGTTAATTTCTTAAATTTCAAAAGCAAATAGCTTTTTTTTCAGAGAAAACTATGCAAAAAAAAAAACATTTTTTTTATACTCGAATTAATTTTCACATCTGTTGTTATTATCACGTTTCGGCCGTTGTAACCTCCGGCCTTCTTCTGATCTACCCTTTAAGGAATTAATCTAATAGATGGGGGTAGAAGGGAGTGACGATTATGAGGATGTTAGATAGTGACTGAGATTGAAGAGGGTAAGATGACAGTGTTTATGGAAGCAGCTGCATGAGGATTTGTTCCACAGAGGACAATGAGACTTTCTTCTTACAGATGGAATACTGGGGAAATGTGGGTGATTCGACTGCGTGGACGTAGTATGGCGAGTCCAAGTTATAAAGGTCTGAATGGTGGAACTAAAGATTGAAACTTATCTGGACATTCTCATGGGAATAACGATAGGGTAGCGATAGACCTGCGCCTTTTCGTCCGTGGGGAAAGAGGTGGTAGAGTGGAAAATATGTCACATCCTGCAAAACCGCGTAAAC